TTCCAGGTGTTCTTCCTAATCCCCTGGGGGGGGGACCTTTTCCCTCTGTTCAGGAACGCAGCCGTGTGGGCCACACCGTGCTGTGCTTTGCATCCTTAACCGTCCCTGCTGCCTTCATTGTGGGAGTCGAGTTCAGTATTCGAGTCCAGCGGCCGCCCGCAGATGGAATGGAAGGCTGCACCACCTTGTCCTTTGACTCAGGCAGGAAAAAAAATGCCTTGGGCCAGCATGGGGAGGGCAGGGCTTTGGCTGCTGTGCCCCAGGCAGCTAAAACATCTGGAGGTACCCTAGCATGAGATGTTTCTGGAGTGGGGGCTTTATTACTCTTGCCACCTGATCACCCTGAATACATCCCATCTTATCTGATTTTGAAAGCTAAATTGGATCAGGTAGGACTGTGGAGGGGGGCAGAATCCTGGGAATCCCTGTGGCCACCCAGAGGGACGGGTCTGTCCATCCCACATGATATAACTTGGCTTTGGATATTCCTAGTTACCTGGGGCAGCAAAATCTCTTGCCCCAGCCCACATGCTGGGAGAAGGCCCCCTTCTCACTCTCCTTAAGGCAGCCTGACTGTCTGAATCATCCTGCTTCTGAAGAGGAAAGGCTGGGGGGTGGGGTGGGAGGGGTGTCCTCCCTTGTCCCTCCGTCCGGCTCTGTCTAACGACCTTCCCCTAGCTCCTGTGTCCCTGATTATATAGGACGACCTATAAGGGAAATCACCTTGCCGCCTGGGGAGAGACGGAGGTGCAGAACAGGCCACTCTGCTTTAGGCCAGCCCAGCACAGGGAGGAAGCTGGGGGCGGAGTGGGGGGGAAGAGAGAAGATTTGCTGCGGTGCGCCTCAGGCGGCCGGATAACTTGGGGCGGCGCTGGCCCAGATACTTTCCACGCAGCATCCCTGAGTCATAGGCCTGCGTGGGGGGCCCCGGCTCTCTCTCTCTCCCCAGCAGGCCTGCCCTGCGCCTCCTGCCTCCTGCCTCCTCCTCCTCCTCGTTCCGGGGCTCACCTCCAGCTTGTCGGTCAGCTCCTTGTGCATGCGCTCGTACTGGCGGCTCATGTCCTGGTTGCGCTCCAGCAGCGCCTTGCCCAGCCGGGCGGCCAGCACCAAGTCCTTCTCCTTCTGCCTCATCAGCGAGAGCAGCTCGGGCTCCGAGGGCGAGGGCGAGGCG